ATTTGATTATCTTTATTTGGACTATATTTATTATAGATATAAATTAATTAGTACTTTAACTATTCAACATTCTGCCCCTGTTTGGTAGGGATTAAAATTAGAGTTTTAATAGATTTTAATAGAAATTGATGAAATGTGTGGGCCCATAAAATATACGGTCAAAATTAAGAGGAAATTACAAAAAATCAGGTACTTAAACTTTCAAATTCAAAATTCTAATATGAAGTTTATTTAATCAAAAATCAGGTATTAATTATTTTGATAATTTATTAATATATTAATTAGGGAAAGATGGACCCAATTCATTTTCTTCTCCCTCTCTTCTCTACACACACTCTAAACCTTTATTCTCTACATTCTCTCTCTAAACCAACCCATCACCTCCCTCCCGTCGTCGCCCTTAACTCTCCACCTCGCTCACTTCTCTATCTCTATTCTCAGTTCTCTCTCTGTCGGAAAGGACCCGCTGGACTCGAAACTGCCGGAGTGGAGCCACGCGAAGCAGCCTGACACCACCATCATCATAGATCGCTTCATGTCGTTCCTCGTTCTACTTCGACGAACACCGCCTCGTGGTGGTGATGGTGGCCAAGTCGCGCATGAGATCTGTCGCACAGGCCACCGTTGCGCGAAGCAGATCTGCAAGAAACACCATGGTTTTTGTTACTATCGTGGGATGTTGACTGTTGTTGGCTGTAGTTAACTAGTTATGGTGGTGTTTTGTCGAGGGCGGATCTGTGTGTGGCGCTGCGACGAAAGGGGGAGACGAGGCATCGGGCTTGAGGAAGAGACGAGTTTTTGAGGAAACTGTCGGATGAATGGATCGGGTTTTGGAGGTGATGGGGTTGCCGGCGTTGGCACTGGGATCGTGTGTAAATGGGTCATCGGATGAATGGATTGGGTTTAGGGTTTGGTTATCTGTGACCAATTATTTAACTGTGACTTTAAAATTTGATAATTTGTGATCAACAAATTTGAAAATATTGTGACCTATAATTTTTTATCTGTGACCTTAAAATTCGATAATTTGTGACCAACAAATTTGGAATTATGACTGATTGACTATAATTTTTTTTGTCTGTGACTAATAAAATAAAATGTGACCTATAAAATTTTTGATTTGTGATCTCGAATTAATATGTGACCAATTAATTATTTAATACATGATCAATAAATAAGTTGTGACCTATAATTATGTACCCGTGACCATAAATTATATAATTGTGATTTTATTATATTTAATTAATATAATATATTAAATAAATACCTGATTTTTACATTAATTACACTTAAAACCTGATTTTTGAATTGTGCAAAGTTAATGCCTTAATTGTGAATTTTTCCCTAAAATTAATTGTTTACTGTAACTTAAATTAAAATGTGAAAATTTTAATTTTTACAAACAAGCAC